AAGGGGATTCAGTCTATACAAGGGTCTGTTTCCCTAGGTACAAAGCAGAATGTTGGGCAGGGTAGATGTGCACAAGCAAAAGTAACTAGAACAAATAAATTCCTGTTCCAAATGTTTGAACAAGAAGAAAGGAAGGAAGGGAGGGAAGGAGAGAGAGAAGAAAAAGAGAAAGAGGAGAGAAGGAGGGAGAAGAAACTGACAGATTATGTACATAAATGTTATACTGCCAGATACACCACTAAAAATAAACAAATAGGAAAACTTTCATAACACATAAGTGGATAATATACTATATCATCATCCATTATTAAAAATCAATTAATAGCATGAAGACTCTAATAGACCAAATAGCAAAATGACAGATTGTTTCCAAAAGAGAAAATACACATGGTCTACAAGATGTAAAAGAATGTTTAGTCTTACTATATTAGAATCAATATGAAATCTATTTTTCTATCAAATTATAAGGAAAAAGATAATAATACAGTCTAGAAACAGTAAAGTGGGCCTTTAATATACTACTAATGGGAAAGTAGAAAATTGGTGTAGTCATTCTAAAAATCAATGTAACAGTAATTCCACTTCTAATATCCTATTGTAAGGAAACAATTAGAAACCTTGAGTAAGATCTATACACAAAAATATGCATAGCAGCTTTAATGATAAAAAATATAAATGTCCAACATTAATGAAATGATTAAGCAAATTATACAATATCTATTTCATCAGATTTTACAAAGCCATTAAAAATTATGTTTACAGTGAGGGTTTTTGTCACATGGTAAGCAAGAATGTAATGCACAAAATTAAATGTACAATATGGTTGCACCCTGTTTAGGAAAAAAAAAAAAGCAAGAAAATATAAAGAAGAAATACCAAAATGTTAATTGTTGTTATCTCTGGATAATAAAAATATGGTGATTTTGTTTGTCTCACCTTGTTAAATCCTTACATACTTACCAAATTTTCTAAAATGAAGAATGTATTCATTAATATTTGTTGAATGCCCACATAGCATCAGTCACTGTCCTGGGATCTGGGTATATGAATCTCATGAGGTACTAGAGTCCTTGCCCCTGAAAATTTAGTGTCTTTTTTCTATACTTTAAGTTATTAAATAATAGGATAATGAAGTTATTATTTATTCATTAGGGTGGAAGAGGAGAAGTAGTGTTCCATATATTCTTCATTGATCTCTTTCCCTCATACCACCTTTTGAGTGAATGGGAATCCTGATGGCCTTATTTTCAAAATAATATCCAAACCCTATGGAAGGTAAACCAATAACACTTTCAAAAAAGAAAAGAAAAAAGTAGAACACCTAAGAGAGTGTACTCATGACCTTGGAGTAGGCTAGAAGGCAGAGTTATTAAACAGGACCCAAAAATGTTAACTATAAGTGAAAAGACTGATAAATTGGACTAGATTAAAATTAAAACTCTATATACATTAAACCACGCTATTAAGAGAATAAAAATGAAAGTCCTTGAGAAGAAAGCTTTTGCAATTCATTGGTAAAATTCATAGCTAGAATATATAAAGAACTCCAATGTAGCAATAAGAAAAAGTCAGATAACCCAAAAGAAACATGGGCAAAGATTTGAATAGGCAGTCATAAAGGATATCCAAATGATAAACTTAGAAAGATTCCCAAATATTCATTATCATTCAATGCAAACTAAAACCACAACATGATGATATCATTGTACCCCAAACTAAAAAGGCAAATAGTAGCAAATATTGACAACGATGTGGAACAATTGGACTTTCATACATCCACCCATGTTGAGGGTATGAATTGATACAATCAGTTTAGAAAACTAGTTGACAGTATTCACCACAGCTGAACATATGTGAACCCCATGATGTAGAAATTCCAATACTAAGTATAACCAAGGAAATCATATACATATGCTCTTCACAGTAAATTGGTTATCACCAAAAACTATAAACAATAAAATGTCGATCAATTGTGGAACGAATAAATATATTGTCATATATACATATAAAGAATACTATCCCATAATTAATTAACTATAGCCTTATATAACCTCATTTATATCATAGGCATAATATTGAGTGACAAAGTGACACAAAGAATATATACCATGTTGTTCTACTTATGTGAAGTTCAAAAGGACCTAAACTAATCTATGGTATTAGAATTCAGGATTGCTGGTTATCCCAGCAGGGAAGTAGGGCATGCCTGCAAAGAGAGAAGGTAGTTTCTGGGGTTCTGGTAATGTTCTGTTTATTGATCTGACTGCTGGCTATAGTGTGAATTCACATTATGAAAATTCATAAGATACTTCTCTGTATATATATATTAAAATGTGTGTATTATGTAAGTATATATTATGTATTTCTTATTTTTCTATGTATATATGTGTGGGTACATACATTGTTAAAAGAAAAAAATTTAACAAATTGAGATTTAAAGATCTGGCTTTATTAGCATTCATTAACCAGGTCTCATACAGTCTATAAAACAGGAGCTCTACTGAGCATGATAGAGCTCTTAGTTTTGTAAGTAAGGTTGAGCAGGAACAAAGAAACAACAAAGTACACAAATCAGGTTAGTTAGCATCAGGTTACTTCAGGTTACTTTCCTTGTATTGGTTAAAGCAGAGGGCACTTCTTTATCATGTTGGTTTAAGTGGACTAGGCCCCTTTTGATTGAATTCTGTGAATCCCCTGTTTTTTTGAAAACTGTTCTGTTTGGGGCTGTCATGTCTCAATTTCTCAGAATATCAGATCTTGCAAATAAACAGTTTAGGTTTCAGTTTGCTGACATGGAACATTAGCATGTGTGGCTCCATTTTGGGTTGGTGTGTCAATGCCTAGTACAAGAGCTCAATCCAAATGAATGTCCTTCCATAATTTTTACTTAACAATATGCATACATACACTTACACACACTTTTTACGTATTACATCCAAAATATAAGCACTTCTGACTTCCTCTTTTGCCCCAGTTCCACTCTTTTGTGCTTTACCTTTCTCTGCAGTCTTTACCTCACCCCAAATGATAACATTTTTTTGCATTTAAAAAAAAAGTTTTATTTATTATTTTTAGATATAAATGACAATACATATTATAAATACATTGAATATAACTTATTCTAATAAGGACCCCATTGTTGTGGTTGTTTATAATGTGGAGTTTCACCAGTGGTGTATTCATATATGAACATAGGAAAGTTATGTATGATTCATTTTACTGTCTTACCTATTCCTAATGATAACTTTTAAAACAGAAGTTTTAAAATCTAAAACTAATCTAATCCATGATTTTGATGCTGTTCACAATACCTGTTTTACATAGACTTTGATCTGTGATCTTGGTGTTATTTTCAATGCCTGTTTTACATAGATTTTAATCAATAATTTTGGTGCTGTTTTCAATGCCTGTTTTACATAGATTTTGCTCCAGAACTATATGTAAATCCTAAGCTAGCACACCAAAAGGGTTTTTGTTTTGTTTTATTTTGTTATCAGGACCCTTCCTGCAAGGTTGGAGTTCTATCTCTTCTCACTTAAAGAAATCCTACTGTGTTTACTCTTCTTTTCCATGATTGGCCATGGATTTTATTCTTCAAAATTGGCAAGACAAGAACCCAGAGGAAATTGGCCAAGTGAGGAGTCTAGGGTTATCTCAAAACTCCAATTTCAATAATTCTGAAAATGTTTGGTAGCCAGATTCTAAAAATATTTGTAGTTGTAATAGTTTATAGAATTATTACTATGCTTAAATAATTCATGGAATATCCTTCCTGTCTCTCTCTACACCTGAACTTGCTTCTCCAAGGTTTAACTACTGTTGCCACCCACTCTTGGGATCTGCTTATCCCTAACTAGGATATTTGTCACTAATTAAGTAGGAATTTTCCATGTGTTCCTTATCTAAACTAGCTTGCCTAACCGTTCAGAATAGAACTATGGCCTCTCTGAAACTCAGATTATTAAGACTATACATTTATGAATAAGCCATTCACTGAGATTGGGATCGGAGATGGAAATTAACAATTGGGAGAAATCTCTTCCTTCACAATCCCAGGATGGAATGCTGCCTCATTTTCCTAAATATTTTTCTATCTATTCTAGTTACCATTTAATGAACACTTGTTACATGCCAGGCACTGTACTGTGTATTATTTCATGTCATCCTTACAACAGACTAATACATTTTGTATTAATATTGCCACTTACAAACTAGAAAACTATAATCAGAGAAATTAAGTAGCTTCAGCAGCATCACATTCCTGGTAAGTGGCAGAGTCAGGATTTGAACCCAACCTGCCCAGTTCCTTTTCCAGACCTTTGACATTTATTGATTGTTTACCTCTTACATTTCAAGTCATTTTGCATGACTGTATTTAAATTTCTATCCCTTTATGGCTTAATTATTGTGCCTGTCATGAGTAGGGAATCAGCCTACAACGAAGATGACTAAGGTGTCTCCCTGTGCTTAAGGAAGGATTAGGATCCACTGGTGGGAAAATAACAGGCAAAGAAATTACCACATAACATGGAAACACGTAAAAGGTCATAACTAAGGAAGCATCAGTCTCCTCACCTGTAACACAGAAATAATACTCACATTATAAGACTCTTATGAGAGAATGAAAATCTGTGTCAAGTACTTAGCAAAAAACCTAGCACATAACAAGTGTTCAGTACATGAAATCTGTAATGTTACTAAACAGTTAAAGGACAATAAATAGGATACCAAACTAAAAAAAACAAATTAGAGCCAGATTTTGAGAAACCTGACTGCCAGTCTAAAGAATTTGGACCTTCAGCTTAATAAAAACAACACTAGTAATCACTCTGAAAAGAAATTAGAGCCAATGCTATTTAACATTACCTTTCAAAATTCATGGTAAGTAAGCTGGAGTTGGTGGAAACAGTTGGAACTGGTATAAAGAAATTCTGTATTTAATGAATTGAAAGGAAAGATGATATTTTCAAGTTTGATGCCCTTTATTTCTTCTTCCACAGTAATTAGTGAATGCCAAAGGCAGCAACTGGAGTCTGTGAGCTACTCCTCTCGCTATGCTCTGGGCCTCTTTTATGAAGCTGGCACGAAGATTGACGTCCCTTGGGCTGGGCAGTACATCACCAGTAATCCCTGCATACGCTTCGTCTCCATTGATAATAAGAAGCGCAATATAGGTCAGTACCCCCATTATTTCCCTTAAATACAGTAACAATGGTGGGTGTAGATCATGAAAAATGCTGTTTAATTGAGTGTTGCCATTCTGAACAGAGCAAGCATTTAACTCCAAGCCACAGGGGATAAAATTTAATGTCACATTTGCCCAGTCATAAAATACACAGTGAAACCAGCAAAGTTTTTCAGAAAATCATTCACCACATGGTTCATATTACCGAGTTCATGAAAATAGTGTCAGAAGGTTTAAGATTTCAAAATGGCCCATGTTCTATTGCTTTAATATGGATCCATGTATATGCAAATGTATCCCTCATCGTCTGTTTCTTGGTGGAGTTCTTTTCTGTTTGTTTGGCTTGGGCTTTTTAAAATTTGATAAGTGCTGATTTTCCATTTCTCTGGCTAGAAATAAAAGTGAACTTTACTGTGTTATGAAAATCCTTCACTTCATCATAGTTTTGTTGTTTACTTACATTTCATCTGGAAAAATAGGGTAAAATTACTTTTTAGTTATATTTTAGTATAACTAAAATGATAGGCAAAATGTTTCACGAGAGCTTTCTTAGAATGCGATGAAATCTATCTACCCTTCACCTTTTTTATTGAAGATAGTTATAAAAATTAAATTTGAATTGCAAGAAAAATAAAACATTCATTTTAGGCAATAAATAAATAAATAAATGAAGTACAACTATATTCTTACTTGTAGGAGGATTGTGGTGTCTCTCCAAGATACCATTTTTCATAAATAAACTATAATGATCTAAAATGACTAAACTCTTGAAAGAAATCATTGCTTCAATGTGTAATAGTGTTTTATGGCCCAGTGATGGTTTCACCAAGCCATTAGTTAGAAGTCTTGCTTGATAAAATCACCAACTAAAGTCTCTCGGCTTGCCAGAGCCTTATAATGATAGAAGTAGTCTGGAGTGTGGTTTTTCTATCAGAGCACATGATCTTAGAAAAATGTTTCTTTTATAACTTAAAACTCCCTAAGAGCTGGACTGTTTATGTTAACATGATACCACATATATGTACAATCAGCAGTTCTTGAAATGCCCTATAACAGCAATGGACTCACCATTTTTAACTCCACACTGCTTTGTTCTGAGGAAAGGAAAGTAGCCTTCATTTTTCTCAAGTTATATGCTAAGAATTAGACATTATCCCCTGTATCTTGCTTTATAAGATATTATATCTGTCCGGGTGCATCCATCTGTATGTAACAGGAAAAAAATTAAACTTGTTTAAACAACATAAGGACACCTGGTATGTTATCTGTTATGAACTGAATGATGACTCCTCCAATTCATAGGTTCAAGCCTTAATCCCAGTGTGATTGTATTTAGATATAAGGATTTTAGCAGGTAATTAAGATTACATGAGATCATAAGGGTGGAGTCTTAACCCAATAGAATTGGTGGTCTTATTAGAAGAGCAAGAAAGAAAGAGGTCCCTATTTCTCCGTCATGGCTTTCAAACAGCAAGGAAAAGCCTGGTGAGGACAGCAAGAAGTCAGCTATCTGCAGGCCACAAAGAAAGCCCTCACCAGGTACAAAGTAGACCAGCACCTTGATCTTGGACATCCCAGGCTCCAGAAATGTGAGAAGTTTCTGTTCTTTGAGCCACCTAGTCTCTGGTATTTTGTTACAGAAGAACAAGCTGACTAGGAAGAAGAGATTGGGGAAACTTTAGAACTGGTTGATACAGAATGGAGCACTATCTTTAAGGTCCCAGGATTCATATTTCTCAGCTCTCTTCCATTCTTGATGTTGACATCCTTAGAGGCGTGGTAGCAAAATGGCAGTAGCTACTGGAATTGCACAGAAAACTAACAACATGCTTAGGAATAAAAGGGATCCTCACTGACTCTGCTCATTTCTAAGAATCAAGGAAATTTTTCCAGAAACCCCTTAACAGACTTCTCATATTTGTAAACCAGAATTAGGTTACTCATCCAATCCAAAATCAGACACTGACAAAATGGGTAGGAATATTCTGATAAATCTAGACAAATCAACTGCAACTTATATTAGAGTCCTCTTCTTGTTAGTCATGTGAAAAGTCACCCTTGAATATAATAGGGGTTTGTTAGGGGAAAAGAAGTAAGTAATGGATGCTGGGTTGACAATTACTAATACCCATTATCTTCAAGTACAGTCACATATTATGTAGAAGGCAAGTTCTAAAGTTGGCACATAAATAGAAGAATATTCAAAATTACCTTTGAAGTCCCTTAAAACTACATTACATTTTGGAGAATGACAGAACAACCTTCAATGACATAATAAATTGTTGTGCAGCCATTTCACAACATTTAATAGATTTCAGTTTCTTTGGGTGATGATAAATTAAATACTTGCTTTGCATTTATAGGATGAAGTGATATTTTCTACTATGAAAGGCACATAGGAAGGAAAGAAATAGCAGTCATATCTCCTAACAGATGAAATCCGCTGTACAAATGGAGTGGGATGTGTGTGAAAGCACCCACATTCCATTACAGTGACAATTTATAAAACTGTGCAGATTTGAAAGAGTGCAACATAAGAATATTAACAAACTCCCACATGATTGACAACATTTGTAATAATAGAATTTTAAAGACATTTTTATATCAACAATCACACGATTTTAAAATTGTAAGACCATGATTTTGCTACAGCCCATGGTGGTGCCAGTTCAAATGGCAAAGAATACCTGCCTTCTTTTGTCAAGTGTTGGAAAATTCATCTTCTATTATGCAAGTTTTAAATTATTTGAAGCCTCCAGTAATGACATTTCCTAACACAGAATCTAATAGCCTTCACTTAAACGGGTTTTTCTCACTATCTGGGGCCAGAGTATTAAGTGCATCAGGTTGACCTCATGTAATATAAATGTCCATATAATATAACTCCACTATATTTTATTAATATTATTATTGTTCTGGGTCAGTAAGAGATGTTTCTTTTTTCTTTTTGTTTTTTTTTTTTTTTTTTTGTGGTGCTGGGGATTAAACCCAGGGTCTTGTGCATGTGAGGCAAGCACTGTACCAACTGAGCTATATCCCCAGCCCAAGATGTTTTTTATGTCACTATTGCTACTCCATGCTCAACTTTTATTTGAGGAGTTTGATTAAATCAAGAATGAATACTATGATACACATACTCAACTAATGAAGGGAAACCTTTGTGTTCTATCAAGGTAGGGCAGCAACCAGATAGATGAGGTCTGGCAGGGTTGAGACCACAAAATATAGTGTATTGATAAGTCTTTTGAGACAAAGGATAAAGAAATAGCCCATACCAAAGGTCGAGGCATAATCATCTGTCAGATGTCAGGCAGAATGTGCAGAAAGCCACAATCAGAACAAACAGTTCCTTCTGTAGAGGACCTAAATTCCAAGATCCAGCTTCAAGTACCAGTATCTATGGGTCTAAATCAATATACTGATGTTTGTGTTTCCAAAAGTGTGTTTTGTGGAATGCTAATTCCTCACAATGCTCTTTGGGAAGGAACTCTGTCATAAAATAAGTTTGTAAAATGATATTGACCTTTTTGGAAAGTTTTAGGAAATATCCCATTAAAGGATATTTCTATAAAAAGGACACATTTATCTATTTATTTATTTATTAGTTCTAATCAGTTATACATGACAGTAGACAGCTCTTTGATTCACTGTACACAAATGGAGCAGAATTTTTCACTTATCTGGTTGTGCATGAAGTAGAGTTACACCATTCGTGCAATCATACATGTACCTAAGGTAATGATGTCCATCTTATTCCACTGTCTTTCTTACGCCTACTTCCCCACTTTGCCCCATCCAAAGCTACTCCACTTATCCCATGCCCCCCCCCCCCCCGCATGTGGATTAGCATCCACTTATCAGAGAAAACATTTAGCCCCTGTTTTTTGAGATTGGCTTGTTTCACTTAGCATGATATTCTTCAACTCCATCAATTTACCTGCAAATGCCATAATTTTATTCTCTTTTAATGCTGAGTAACATTCCATTATGTATATGTACCACAATTTATTTTTCCATTCATCTATTGAAGGGCTTCTAGGTTGCTTCCACAGTTTAGCAATTGTGAATTGTGCTGCTATAAACATTGAAGTGTCTGAATTACTGTAGTATGCTGTTTTTAAGTCCTTTGGGTATGAACTGAGGAGTGGGATAGCTGGGTCAAATGGTGGTTCCATTCCAAGTTTTCTAAGGAATCTCCATACTGCTCCCCAGATTGGTTGCATCAATTTACAGTCCCACCAGGAATGTATGAGTGTGCCTTTTTCACCCACATTCTCACCAATACTTATTGTTGCTTGTATTCTTGATAACTGCCATTCTGACTGGTGTAAGATGAAAATTTAGAGTAGTATTGATTTGCTTTTAATGTTGAACATTAAAAACAGACACATTTTCACTTCATTTAATCTAGAATTTCCCAAATATATTTGACCATGGACCATTTGAACCCATGAACAGCCTTTAGAAATGATTCCCCAGCACATACTCTAGAAATCTTTGTTTGATGTTGTCTTTTGTGCTTCTTGCTTTGACAGGAGTAATAGACCTTTGATTGGAGGGGGGAGGTCTGGTCCTGAACGCATTGATGTGGAGATATTTTTAGAGATAGGGAGCCCTTGTCACTCAACAAACTCAAATCTCAATGGGATTCAAATTTAAGGCATTGTAGATTTTTAAAAAATCTTTATTATATTAACATCATGCTATAGTTTGGATCTTCAATGTCCCTGCCCCAAAAGCCCATGTGTTAAAAACTTGGTCCCTAGCTTGAGTTGTTGGGAATTAGAAGAAACTTTAAGAGGTAGGGCTCAGGGAAAGTCTTCCAGTTTGGGGGAGTATACTCTTGAAGGGGGTAGTGGAATCCTAGCCCCTCTTTTCCTCTTTTCTGCTTCCCAGCCATGGGGTGAACAGCTTTTCTACCGTATACTACCTCCAAGATACGCTGCCTCACTACAGGCCCAAAAACAATGGGGCCAAGCAACCATGGAC